TAGCGCTTGATAAGAGATCGGGAACGATTATTAAGTGGCTCAGAGAGTGAACAACAGATAACACACTCTAAAGAAAAAGCAGAAGACCCTGGAGAAGACTTTAGAACTAGAAGAATGTCGTTAAAAAGGACAGGCTTACGAGATTCTCTTGTAGTGAAACAAAAAGATTTCAGCAATTTTACTGGGGCACTACAACAACAGCAAGACAAATCAACTTTATTGACAAAACCACCCAAGGAGGGTGAACCAAAACATTCAACAGTAACAAAAGCAAATGAGCAGCAACCTGTAAAGACACATGAAGAATGTCAGGCAGAAAATAAAGTATCAAAAGCTGTGAAGCACCTGACAGCTGACCATGATCAACTGACACCAGGGGGACGAGAAACACACCATAAGCAACAAGAGGGAGGAGATGGTGATCACTCAGCAAGAGATGGTAAACGATTGAATGGCTCAGATACTGAACGACAGATAAGACACCCTAAAGAACAAACAGAAAACCTAAGAACAGACTTTATAAGATCTTCATTTAAAAAGAAAGGCTTACATGATTCTCGTGTATTGAAAGAAACCAGCAATTTCCCTTGGGTACTACAACAGCAAGATGAAGCAGCTCTATTGAAAACACCACCCAAAGAGTATGAACCAAAACATTCAACAGAAACAAAAGCAAATGAGCAGCAACCTGTAAAGACACGTGAAGAATATCAGGGCAGCATAGTAAGAGCAACAAAAGTGTCTGTGAAATCAAGTCAAGCACTCAAAGATGCAGTTGTGCCAAAAAAGCCTGACCCATCATCTATACCATTAGCCAGCATTCAAGCTCAAAAGGAAAGGATTCAACCTTACTTGTCACAACGTCTGAGAAAAGGAGACAATTGGTTAGTATAATACTTTTAGTAATAAAATGTCCAATATTACTAATAGGTGTCTTGTTGATGTGAAATGGTTTAGGCAGTGGAAGAAATACACTGGATTTGATTCATGGGATCAAGAGACTGCTGGACAAGCAAGTGCCCATCCAGGACCAGTTGATAATGGTACTTTGTTTAAAGGTATAACATACTAATTTTATGTATAATTTTTGTTAGTAATTATTGTATTGAGCTACTTTTGATACTTTGCCTAAATTTGCAGTTGATCCCACTTGTATTTGATAGTGTGACTTTTGTCATGAATTATTGTATAGTGCAAAATTTTTGAGGGCTGTGAATGTTGTGCATTTGCCTAAAAATTTATTTTGCAGATTTAATTTTTGCAATTTATGCTGTCTGCCACCTTGTGCATAATTTTTTGCGTAAGGAATTTTTGTAAATTAAAAAAATCCCAAAATCCAAGAAATTTACAGCCCTTAAAAATTTTGCGCTGCATGGTATAGAAACTTTGTACCATCATGATTATAACAGCTTATACAATTGCTACAGATACATTTTTGCAGTTGACCTTTTGTAATGCTTGTCAGTGATATTTGATTCATTAATCATTATTAGATCCTGATTCTGAAGAACTAAAGAATAATCTCAAGGAAGGAGAGAACTATGCATTGCTACCTGAGCCTGCATATAATCTTTTAGTCAAATGGTATGGACTATCAGTAGGATCAAGACCTATTATTAGGTATTGTTTTACCATTGTATTATTATGTGATTGTGTATCTCTAGGTGTGTAGTAGAATACTCAGGACCATTTGCTAAAAAGTTGGTTGAAGTCTATTTATATCTTTTGAAATTGTGTGTATATCCTAAGACTGATGATACTAGAATGCATTCATTTAGTCAAGTAGACTCAGTCGGTAAGTACTGTATATAGCACTTATATTTTATGGATATAAAATTTTTGCGAAATTGTTCCTTCTAAGCATTCATGGATAAAAAATTTCGCAAAATGATCATGTTTTAAAGTAACAATAATTGATGTAATCATAGTAGGCGTGGCGTGTTTCAGTACTAAGGTACTTTGATGAAAGATTCTCGTCAGAATCGGGTAGAAGTGAAGTGATCTGACTAGTAGGAGCAGGATCAGTCTTCTTGAAATACTTAAACAAGCTAGCAGTAGACATTTCTTCTTAATGCATGTGCTGCTCGTGTCCTAAACTGAAGGCATGGTTTCTGGCCCACAAGGCATCACCTATTTTAATTAATACTAAATTTTTGTAGATAGAAGTTTTCGCGAATTTTGGCAATTCACGAAATTTGCGAAATTTATTATCCACAAAATATATGTGCTATACGGTATAATAGTGATGCTATTAGATTTACATGTGCATATACATTTAATGTATACTGTGTTTATAGGTCATGTAATGACAGTTATGAAGCAACAGTTTAACATTCCTGATACTACTGAATGCAGAATATGTAAACAATTCATGAGAACTTATTTGCCTTTAGAAAATCTCAAACAAGCAATATCAGAAGCTGGTATACGTGGAGGACAAGTTAGTTAGTCTAATTGTATGAATACCAAAAGATGCCATTATTAATAGACAATATTGCTGGAAAAAAGAAATCAGGATGGTACTTGGCCAAGGGACATTAAGAGACAACAGTAATTATTTTTGAGGCCATGGGAATGTTGATGAATCTATGTGTGCAAAAATTGCTTGAGTGGAATTAATATTAGTATTTTGTTGTTTAGTACTACTTTTATAGTGTTAAAATAAGTCTTAATGACTTATATGGCTTGATAAATAACACAGTTTTCTGTCAAAGATATAACATTCATTGAGTGCCCATTTATGCAAAGCATATAGGAAGTCCAGTAATGCATGCTATTCATCATTAATTTCATGTATTTTATAATGATGCCAGTGATCTAAAAACTATTATTTTTTGAAACAATAATGGATTGGAGAGAGAGAAAGAGGCCTTGGGGAAGGAAGGAAAGGAGAGGAGGTGCAAGAAGAAAAGAAGAAAGAAAAAAAATTTCTATTATTGACCTCCATCTGATTGGTTAGATTATATCATTCACTACAAGAGCAGTATCATTTTTGTTATGAGCTGATTCTGGTCAAAATTGGATTTAATTTGTAAAGTTGCTCCAAATACCATATACTGTCTTGTCAATTCATGAAGC